GGGGGGGTCCCAAGGTGGGGGAGACCCCCCCCTTACCCTCCCCGGTCTCGCTGTGGGGATGGGTGCTCCAAAATCCCCAAATTTCCTATGGGGATGGGATGGGGTGAGGAGCTCTGCACCCTAAAAGGTGCTGGTCTCGCTGTGGGGCTGGGAGTGGGGTTTGGGGGCCTGCACCCCAAAACTTGCCGTCTTTTCTGTGGGGCTGGGAATGGGGAAAGGGGGTCTGCACCCCTAAACCTTGCTGTGGGGCTGGGAGTGGGGTTTGGGGGCCTGCACCCCAAAACCTGGCATCTTTGCTGTGGGGCTGGGAATGGGTCCCAAGGTGGGGGAGACCCCCCCTAACCCTCCCCGGTCTTACTGTGGGGATGGGCGCTCCGAAATCCCCAAATTTTCTATGGGGATGGGATGGGGTGAGGAGCTCTGCACCCTAAAAGGTGCTGGTCTCGCTGTGGGGCTGGGAGTGGGGTTTGGGGGTCTGCACCCCAAAACTTGCCATCTTTGTGTGGGGCTGGGAGCAGGGTGAGGGGGGGGCACTTGCCGTCTTTTCTGTGGGGCTGAGAATGGGGTTTGGGGATCTGCACCCCAAAACCCACCATCCTTTCCGTGGGGCTGGGAGCAAGTTGGGGATCTGCACCCCAAAACTTGCCGTCCTTGCTGTGGGGCTGGGAGCAAGTTGGGGGGCTCTGAACCCCAAAACCCACCGTCTTTGCTGTGGGGCTGGGAGTGGGGCAAGGGCTGTGCACCCCTAAAGCTCGCTGTGGGGCTGGGAGCAGGGTGGGGGGCTCTGCACCCCAAAATCTGCCGTCCTTTCTGTGGGGCTGGGAGCAGGTTGGGGGGCTCTGAACCCCAAAACCTGCCGTCTTTTCTGTGGGGCTGGGAATGGGGAAAGGGGGGTCTGCACCCCTAAACCTCGCTGTGGGGCTGGGAGTGGGGTTTGGGGGTCTGCACCCCAAAATCTGCCGTCTTTTCTGTGGGGCTGGGAGCAGGGTGAGGGGGGGCTGCACCCCAAAACCTGCTGTCTTTTCTGTGGGGCTGGGAATGGGGAAAGGGGGTCTGCACCCCTAAAGCTCGCTGTGGGGCTGGGAGCAGGTTGGGGGGCTCTGCACCCCTAAACCTCACTGGGACTGTGAGCAGGGTGGGGGGCCTCTGCACCCCAAAACCCACCGTCCTTCCTGTGGGGCTGGGAGCAGGTTGGGGGCTCTGCACCCCAAAACCCACCGTCCTTGCTGTGGGGCTGGGAGCAGGTTGGGGGGCTCTGCACCCCTAAACCTCACTGGGACTGTGAGCAGTGGGGGGGGCTCTGCACCCCAAAACCCACTGTCCTTGCAGTGGGGCTGGGAGCAGGTTGGGGGTCTCTGCACCCCAAAACCTCACTGAGACCCGGCCCCACCGTCTTTGTTGTGGGGCTGGGAGCAGGTTGGGGTGCTCTGAACCCCAAAACCCGCCGTCCTTTCCGTGGGGCTGGGAGCAGGTTGGGGGTCTCCGCACCCCAAAACCTCCCTGCGGGCGACTCCCGTCGGTCCCCCGTTTGGGGGGGGGTGGTAACTCTCAGCCGGGACACCCCCCCCCCCCCCCCCCCTCCCCCCGGGCCCGGGCAGAGCTGCCAAATTCCCATTACTTGTGACCTAAATGGGACATAAACCCCATTCCCCGGACCCGTCCCCTCCCGCCGAGCCTGGTGTGGGGCAGGGCGGGCTACGAGCTTCGGGCTCCGGGCTACCGGTTACCGGGACCCCACCGGACCGGTTACCGGGTCCCCACCGGCCCGGGAATGGGGGGTCTCCCGGTCCCCGCCGCCCTCCTCGCCGCCCTCCTCGCCGTTCTCCCGGGGCTGCCCCCGGCCAGGGCAGGTAACTCGCACCGGGGGGGGGAAAGGAGGGCCCCCCC